TTTCCCGTGAGAACGAAGCTTGTACTAAGAGAGAAAATCACATTTTTCTGTTCAGAACACAACATAATATATAATATGTTTATTGGTTATAGATGATATAGAATTAAATGTGAGAGAGAACTATTAACGAATCCTGAAGAGAAGGATGTGACAAGTGGGTGTGGCAAGAGGGGTCTGATTTTCTATTTGATATCTCTGTAACCAAACAAAATTAAAGTTTATAAAAGTTATGGTTTGTCTGAGCAATGACAATTTTATAGGGAATAATTTACCTTGAATTTCGTACTTATTGGAAGGGCGGTGAATAAAATAAAGACGATGGGATGCCCACAGAAAATTTGTCACCTTTCTCACACTAGAGGAAATTCAGGATTTTTTTAAATATTGCCTTATAAAATTAAGAATTTAAAACTTGTATACAATTAAAATATGCATTATCAGTTATGATTTGATGCTATACTAATTGGTATAACATAAACAAAAAGTAGTTTAATAAAATTTGGAATGTAAGACACAAAAACCTTGTGTCATGAGCAGTAAAGGATACTCATGGCGATAGGGTTAATGAGAGGAATAAACTGTATTTTATAAGTATTGTACATTATAAAAAAAAATGCAGTGAGGGAACATACTTCTATATTCTCAAAATTTTCAGTAGATTTTCAACTGCCGTGTTATTTTCAGATTAAAATGATTTCCTTACAAGTATCAGACAAGTCCATTAATAACAAAAGATTTGGCTATGTACTATATTTAATAACTTGATTGTGTTTCTTAGTGTATATGAAATAAGAAGACTGGACAAGTGCAATGAAACAAAGAAAATGTTGATTTCTACAAAAAAAAAAGCAAGCAAAGCATATGTATTTGCACAAACCAGCTAATAACCGATATTTGTACTAGGCTGTATTGAATCATACAACTTTCACTCTCTTAAGATTGATCTGTATAAAGTAAAACAGGATGATCTCAAAATATTGTTTACATGACAATCTCATAGTAGAACTGAACCAAGAAAGCATGCTTGAATTCATTAGGTAAAACCTAACAATGACTAGATTATACTTATTTTTTCTGCCCTATCAAGATAACTTTCATCTCATCCAAATGAAAAAATTATTTTAATAAGTTTAATTTTATTGTTGAATGAAAATATAAAGTAATATTTTATTATTTTATATAATATCTATTGTTTAATTTTTTTAGCCTTAAAATTGAAGATTGATCACACAGAAATTATCATTTTTTGATTATCACAATATCCAGCAATTGATAAAAAGTACTAAAATTTCCTTTCGATGTGAATTTAGTGTTAGAACATCTGAATAACTTTTATATTTATTGTTTCATCTCTTGCAGAGAAATATTTATTTCAAAATGAGTTCTTTCCCCATTTGTATTAAGGTTTTGATGAAAGTTCATTGCCTTTTGCAAAGTAATTACTTGTAGACTTTTATACAGTACTAATTTAGTCAATATACTATATTGTGGAAAGTGTGATGTTTGCATGAAATTCAAACATTATAGATTTTGATGGGGTTTTTGGTGAAGTTAAAGCAGTCAAAAATAGAAGTCATCTAAAATGTTAGAATCTAATCAAAAATGGATAAGAAAACTGTAAAACAGAAGAAATAATAAAAATAATTTGTTTCTTCCTATTATAACAACTGTTTGTCATAGATTGTTCTGTGATTGATCAGACCACAACCAACAAAAGTAACAAGAAATAGCCAAATAACATATATTATTGTTTCTACTAAGTGTTTAGTGTCCTAGATGTCATGATCATGTTGAACATTTTTGTAATGAATGTCAAGGTCAAAATGGAATGACTCTGAGCAAGAGTAACATTATTTTAGGATGATTTTTCATCAGCACCAAAACAACATTTTTGGAATTTCGTTGCAGTTTTTGAAGCAAGAGAGCAAACTCTAAATTATGAAAAGTTTCATATGAAAATTGGTCTAGCAAATTTTATCTCGTTGAGAGTTGCCACTAAAAGAAAGTTTGTTGACTGGCTTGTGAATTCAGGATTAAATACTTAATAATACATCAAACATCATTAGTTTAATCATACTTATTTAACTCGTATGTCCTAGCACTGTATAATGAGCATTGTGGGACAGAAGTGGTTTAACTAGATATCGTACACTAGAACTTGCATATTTTTCATCTTTCTTTATGTATTGAAACAGACCTGGAAAAAGTTTGGTGAAGCTCGAAATGACCCTCCAGGACCAAATCCCACAAACACTGTAGTTTCTGAAGAAATTTTCATGCAGTTTCTAAGCAACAAAGAGGTAATTTATTTGATTTATCAAATACAGTTTTCCTTAAAGAAATCACTGTTTTCTGTTGACTATTTATTTAAATAGAATAATGTTAAAGACAATTTGGATTTTATCCACTTTAATTTCTTTTTTCCAGCATTACATTTTACCTTGTGTGTGTAAAGAATTTTTGTAGGAAAATTCATTAGTAAATAGTTTCTCCCAATATCCTATGAGGAAAGCTTTTAATTATGTAGAGAAACATATTTTGAGTAATAATTAAGCAATGCATTCTTTAAAAACACTTCACTAAGAGTTTTTAAAATAGGCTGTTTTGAAATGGTACTGTTTTATAAATAGTTAAGAAATGTTGACTAGTTTACAAGGACTAGTGTTCAGATATGTAAAAACATAACACATGATAAAAGTGTTCTGTTTATAGTTAATGCTGTTACTTGAAAATTAATAATTTGAAAAATAAAATATAATTCTGAGACAATAACTCGCCTCCACATACAGTTTAGCTATCTTCCATGAGCATCTGGCAAAGAGATTTGCATGCCACAAGTCTTGAAGCAACTTCCATCTAATTGTATGTGATTCAGCATGAATTGCACTGTTGGATAATGATGTCATAATGTGAAAAAGCCCTTCACCCAGGGAAGAGTGATACACTTCCATGTGTAGTAACTCCCCTATACACTCACACTCACGGCAACTTCATTCTTCTCCTTGGCATTGTACTGAACAAACATGTTTAGTTTATTGAGATTTGTATCCTTAACAAAACTGTTTGGTATGTTTGGGCATTTTCTTTCTCTTTTTTTCCCATCAAGTTCTGCCTTCTTCTTTTCACCTGCGAGCTTTTACATATCTGATTAACAAATTGTACACTCCACATTCTCTTCTCACATGAGATGTTCTTTCACTTTTGGAGTCTCTGGTTTCCATGGAACTCTTCAGAGTTTTGGGGCATGCATTCATGTGTCGCCTACAATGGTCCTTGCAAACCCAAGAATTTTTTTTCTTAGGGTCTATTGTCTTTATTTGGAGGCCTCTCCTTGAAGAATTGTTGTGATGATTGGACCATGGCCATACTCCTTTCAGTGTTACCTTGCAGACTCTCAAACTAGATCTCTCCCTTCTTAGATGCTTCCTTCTGATTGAGGCATATCTCTAGTTGTGAGCAGGACTCCTGACATTTGTATGCTGGACAAGCATTTCACTACACATGCATGTGCTCAACCTTCTCACTATCCATCAGCAATGTTCCCATTCTTGCCCCTACTAGTGGATCAGTTTGTCATTTTCTTCTCAGTCTATTCCCTGATCGTTTCTTGCTCCAACCATCTGGAAGGCACCCATTCTAGGATCCCTTGCTTTTGGGCATTGTACATAAACCTCTGGGTCCATTCATGTAGGGCTTGTCTTCTTATCTGTCATTTGCCAGGAGCTTAAATCTTGGTGGTGGGCTGGCTCTCTTGGCCAGTCTGCATTCTATCAATAGAGTGGTCTCTATACCCCTCTCTTTATGTCCTCTATTCTTCATCCCTTGGCTCTGGCTGTTGATTACTCAGCCAGGCCTGATCTCACGTCTTTTTGTATGCCTATTCTCTTATTCATCTACTCTCTCTGGTCATCGACTTTTTACACTCTTCTCTTTCCTGGGTCCTATTGATGGTGCCTGTTTGGCAAGTTTAGCTTCAGTCCACTTGACTTTTTGATCCCCTCTTCCCCTCCTTGATCTTGCCTTTCACTCTCTTGCTTTCACTCTCACCCATTTGCCTAATCTGTCAACTATCGTGCCAGAGTTTTTTGTGGGACGTTGTTCTTGCCATTTTTACACTGTATATGTCTGTCAATGATTGCGACAGGTCTCTTGTCATTAGTCTTAACACCTCTCCCTTCTTCTTCGCCTTCATACTGTGAACCATCTTTCTGCCTTTTTTACGTGGCTGCTCATCAATGGTTTGTCAATTTCTGCCTTTACTTGTTGTTGGGAGGTCTTGTCCATGGAATTTCATCTTTCCTATTATGACAAGGTGCTTCTTCTGATGTGCCCAAGATCAGCCAATATTGGAATCAAATTTTGACAATCTGCATTTGTATGTTCCTTATATCTGGACATCCCAAATGTATGTATACTAGTGGTGTTCATCAAGCTTCAAAACTTGTCTTCATATAAATCACGCGCTTATCAAACTACAAAAAGGACATATTTTCATCAGAATAAAAAACAAGTATATATATATATATATTGGATAAAGTTCAAGAACTCTTCCTCTCAATTTATTTTCCCTGTAAACCTTTAAACAAATCAATAAACTTTGAAGGAGAAAATGTGTTATGAAAGGTAAATAAAGTACATTCTGAGCTCAGATTGTATCCACTGGTGTTTTACAAACGTGAATGTATATTGAACATATACAATATTAGCCCAAGGACCTTAAGCCAACTTCAAAATGTCCTAAATTATGTCCATATAGTATTTCTTCATTGATGTAAACCCTGTAACAAACCTACATGCAATGAAAACGGGAAGGGGAGGTTGAACCTAGTAATAGTTATGGATACCAGAAATAAAGGCACTTTTCAAGTGATGCTATGATATTTTATGGCAAATAAAACTATGTTGTAAGTACGTTTATCTTTGTCAAACAAATTAAGAAACAGTTAATTCTCTCAACGTGGGCTCGGTTGATTTGACCGACCACATAACCTCGTTGTACTAGTTCAAAGTTTTTATAGATTTAATACTGCTAATTCTTAATATAGTATGTATATCTTCACAAAATTTGGCAGTCTTTCAGTAAATATTATAAGTCTTTCACATATTAAAAGTCATTGTTTAGTGAAGTATTTTAAATAAACTCAAAAAAGATTTTGTCCATGAATATATCAAGTATTTGTTTTGAATAGTTTATGTGCAAAGTGATTTTCATGTTAAGGTTTAAAAATACTTTACTTCATCTCAAAAATCTCAAATTTCATCTGTGTAATCTCTAAAACTCCCTAAGTGCATTTCAAACATTTGTTATCTTTAAAACTTTATATTTTATTTATTATTTTCTCTACCCTAAATCTATACGTGGTTGGTCAATTTGACCGACCTAATAACCACACACAAAAAAAATCAAAATAAATCTAAATTACTCTTTTTTTTTCTTTCTAGAATGACTTAATTGTAACATGAAACAACATTTGTTTATCATAAGATGTTTTAAACTCGTAACAGTATATATATGTATTTATAATTCAATTTTATTGTGTTATTGCCCTTTGATTTCACTTGAACCATGTCTAACTACTATTCCTGCTATTGTAAGTTGTAAGTCACTTGGGAAATATGGAGCTCACATTACACTATCGATTTAACTTACCCACGAGCTTCTCACATGCATGCCTTGTGAAACATTTTTATTATATTATTATTTATTTTACCTTATTTAACCTTAACTAACCTAAAAAATCACTATTTTTGCATTTTAATTAGTTTTATAATAATAAATGAACAATATACATGAAAAACAAGAAATAAAGTACTTACCTGTTTCTTCTTTTTTTGTGTGTGTTGATGACACTTAACCCTACTTTTTTATACTAATGGTAGTAGTGCATTAAATAATTTTTATATAATTAAATAATGTACCAAAGAACATAAAATAATAACATGCAAAAAGCAAACAATTTCCTCTAACAATTGCAATCTCTTTGGCTTTCTAACTACTCGAAAAGAGCTGTTACAAATTCATTCAAGCTAGTCATTATCTTTCCCATGTGAATGAAGCTTGTACTAAAAGAGAAAATGACATTTCTCTGTTAAGAACACAACATAATATATAATACATCATTTGATAGATGAAAACCTTGGCTTACTGTTGGTTATAGATGATATAGAATTGAATGTGAGAGAAAACTTAACAAATCCTGAAGAGAAGGATGTGACAAGTGGGTGTGGCAAGAGGGGTCTGATTTTTTATTTGATAGCTCTGTAACCAAACAAAATTGAAGGCTTATAAACGTTATGGTTGTCTGAGAAATGACAATTTTATAGTGAGTATTTTACATTTAATTTCATAGCTAATGGAGGGATGGTGGATAAAATAGAGAAGAGGAGATACCTAGAGAAAATTTGATGTGTGTCACACACTAGGGGAAATTCAGGATTTTTTAAAATATTGCCTTATGAAATTAAGAACTTAAAACTTGTATACTATTAAAATATTATTAGTTATGATTTTATGCTATCCTAATTGGTATAACATAAACAAAAAGTAGTTCAATAAAATTTTGAATGTAAGACACTAAAGCCTTGTGCAATGCACAGTAAAGATACTCGTGGTGATAGGGTTAATATATATTAGGTCATGACTTGAATTGTTGGTCACCAATATTTCTTTTCACTTCTCCATGGGTGACTTCCTTTCAGGATACATCGGGAAGTGATGTGCCCTCTTCTTGGTCTCTCTCTTGCTGGTTTTAAAAATAGGGTTTCACAGTCGCTCATTGCACTGTCTCCAGTAAAAGACCTTCTGGTTAAAGGTCTGGTGGGAATCTGACCACTTTTCTGTGTCTCCCTCATGCAAATTTTCCCCCTTTATCAAGTGAAGCACAGGGAGACCCTTACCACTTACTAGTTCCTACCTGCTGGGTTGATGGACCATGGAGTATCCTCACAGTTTGAACTCATCAACTAGGCTATAGAAAAGACGAAATATGTTGACAAGTGGGGCAGTAGTGACACTCAGTGTAGTGCAGGCCATTCCTCTTATACATAACTCATGCATCTTGTGCCCTCCTTCTGCATCTTGAAACTGTTTAGTAACTAGAGTTGAGATAATAAAGTTCTCTCAAGAGTTGATTTGAGCTCTCACTTTATAATACCATAATATTACATGGATGTGCCCTCCTCCTTCAGCCTGTCTGTTCAGCAGAGTTGAGGTGATCACATATTTTATGATTCCAAACTGCATATCTATGGTACTCTCCTCCTGTAGCTGGAACGTGTCCTATAGAGTCTGACAGTAGATTTGAGATGAGCACATACTATACAAAGCCATATTGTTTTATTATAGTGCTTTTCTCCTGCAGCTAGTCTGGTGGTAGAGTTTAGGTGAGTACACATATTATATGTATTCTTACTACATAACTGATCTGTCCTCTGGGTGAGTTATCAGAAATTACCTTTTCCTTACTTTAAAATGTATTTCTGATTGATACTCACCTTTTCACCCATTCTCCCTACTTTCAGTGCTACTTTATTTTTTTCATCAAAAGATGAAGTTACGACAAGTGGAAATGCATGGGGGGTATTGGGTATGGTGGTGAGTTGCTCTCCTATTGGTGGAGTGCTTTTGTCGCATGTTGGCATCATCATGCAGCAGCACAATTCATATTAAATCATGCAAAGTTAGGTGGGAGTTGCCTCATAGCTGGTGGCATGCAAATCTGGTAGATGCATGAAGAAGATACTGTGTGAAGAGGTGAGTATCTATCAGAAATACATTTTCATGTAAAGATAATGTTAACACTCAATTGTAGGCTTTGCCCGTATTAAGCTTTCTCTAGAGAGTCGTTGTAGAATCAGTAAACTATAAAAGTTTTTTTTAACTATTTTCAGTGTATAACTATTAGTCAGGTTACGTGGATATTAATCATAATTTATTTTTATTTCAATACCCAAGATAATTTTTGAGAGAATTTCTTGAATTTTGGTTTCATTTTCACTTCCTCTCATTAAGTTATCACTGCCAAGCCTTCATCAAATTTAGGATTTGGTTATTGCAAAGTTGAATACTATTAGTTAATAAAATGGTTTCTCAAATAAGAATTAGAAATGTTGTACATGATGCATGTTTAATGATAATAAGAATTGTACTTCTTTGTCAATTTTGTTGAGGGAAACAATCAGTGTGAAGTATTAAATAGCTAATACAGTATGTCTGTTTTTGAAATATCAAATATCTAAACTTCAAATTGGAGATTCACGAATTTTGTGACAGCAATTTCACTGACTAGCAGCAGTGAAAAAAAAAACAAACCAAAATGACTTATATTTAGAGATAAAATACTTTGATTACAAAGTAAATTCTTTCAGTAATTAGGAAAATCATTGTTTTTTTAGGAAGAAAGACAGACTGATGATGATCCACTTAACAAACTTAAAGGACAAAAAATTGTTAAATGTAGAATTTGCAAGGATGATCACTGGACTACACAGTGTCCATTCAAGGACAAGCTTGGAGCTTTACCTGACTTGTTAAAGGATGATACCAATCCTGGTAAATACTCTGTATCTTGTATTTATTAACTCTCATCTGCTTTAAATTACTGGAATTCAAATTGAGTACATTGCTAAGTTTAAATTATACATTACTTAAATTCATATATTTGAGTTTTACTTAATTTTTATGATAAACATATTCAAAAGTAGTTCACTGAATCCTGTTAAAGGTTAAGATATTTTGTACGTTACCATCTAGTCTTCCCTCTAGTCTATCTAGTCTGCTAAATTAAGGATGACTAGTGCAGATAGCCCTCATGTAGCTTTGTGCAAAATAAAAAACAACAACCCAGAAATCTGGAAGGGTTTTCACAATCTTTATGTGAAGAGTTACAAATACTTTACATTCATGTATAAAAATAAAGTATATCCAAAATATTGAACATTGTTTTACTGTATTTATGTGATTTGCATTTCAATAATACTGTGTATTAAGTTTTTAAAACTATTTATAATGCAACCGCTGTTGCAAGCTTAATGATGAAAAAGTGTTAATAATACAGCTATTGAAATTTATATGCTCACTTGTGTGAGTGCTACAACTGGATGTGTGTATGCTTATTTTATGCTTCTTAGCTGCTACAGCAACTACAGCTGCTGCTACACCCTCAACTTCCCAGGTTGAGGATAAGATGAAAGCTGGCAAATATGTTCCACCTAGTATGAGAGAAGGAGCCAATCGCCGTGGAGAATCAATGGTCTCTTCACGCAACAGAGGTAAGGGTTAAATTCTGAAGGTTAAAAATTTTTTGTAAAACCAAAACTACAATTTTGAGATATTTTATTGTATTTTATAGAATAAATTAATTCTGATGAATCTGTATCTTTGGAATTTTTTCTAATTGCAATTCTGTTAAGAGTACTAAAATATTAAATGTTTTTATAATGGCAGCACATGAATTCAAGTTAAAAGTATCTAACATATATCACGAATAATAAATTATTAGCTTTCTAAAAATGTGATTTCAGTTTTATGTACATGAAGAAAATTACTTTTATTTACTTTTTATAATTGTATCTATGCTATTCTATTCCAGTAGATTGATAACACATGATTATAATCTGATATTATTGATTTATCTAAGAAAATTGATAGTTGGGTATTTGATAGTTATAAAATCCTTTAATCAAATTAATATTTCTTCAAATTATTTGAAATAAACCTTTGGTTTTTGAGTCTTGGTAAAAGAAAGAAATATAGCTTTTGCAAGAATATACTAAACTTCATTTACATTTTAGAGTACTTTATATTAAGAAACGTTTAAAATCATCTTAATAAAATGAAAAAAATGGTCTTTCTTCAAATGTTTTAGTTTTTTTTCATTTTTAAGGCATTTTTTTAGATTTACCAGTTCTTATTTAACTTGCATTCAACTAATGAGAATCAGTGTCAAGTTTTGGGGTTATGGAATGTAATAAAAAAATTAAACCATTGCAAATTTGTGAACAACATAGTGCAAGTTTTCTTAGTAATTTTTTTTAATCTACTTGTTAAGTTTTTATTATGGTATTCTGAAATCGGTGTCAGAGAGTTTGTTCAAGTTATTAATATTTTAATTCATAGTGATTTATTGTAAGGAATTTTCAAGTAACATACTTTGATTATAAATTAACTACTAAATCTTATCATATTGCAGATGATGCTGCTACTATCAGAGTGACTAATCTTTCTGAGGATGTGAGAGATTCAGACCTTCAGGATCTATTCCGGCCATTCGGAAACATTGCTCGCATTTATTTAGCAAAAGACAAGGTTACTGGACACTCAAAGGCAAGTACATTTGACCCTATCACCACAGGTCAAAGGCCATCTCTCGTTTTTTTTACTTGCATTAAAATTGTTATTGAACTACTATTTTATGAGTTTATATCAATAAGTTTGCTATCAAATTGTAGATTATAATTCAAATTTTAGTATTATACATTAGTTAATTTCTTAATTTAAAAGTAAATATTAAAAGAACACACCTAAATGTTAATTTTTTTTGTGTCACGTGGTATGTTGAATGCAGAATTGGTTCAAATTATATGTTTATGACGTCCAAATACAATGTCTATAGTTTCGTACAAATTAGGAACTCAAATGACCAATATTGATAAGCTAGAATATAAAATAAGAACCTCCTATCTTTTCTATTTGCTGGGATATTGCTTCATGTACTGAATCAAAAACAGTGGCCCAGCCCACCTCTTTCCATTTTTCGAGACACTTTGTTACATAAACCTACTTCTGTGTATGATGTGTGAATAACCAATCAAAAGCTCAGAATGTCCCCCAGGTGGTTCTCTGAGTCTTTGCAAATTATTTGCATGGGAAATCCTTTTTTTTTCACTCTGGATTCGAAGAGGGTAAGTTGACACTTTAGTGAGCTCGAAATTTCATATTTTTAGACCCAAATACAGCTTAGTGACTAAGCTTGATAAATTGTAGTGGAATTCTGTGGTATCGATATAGTAATTTATGAGACTTGATTATTTCAAATGTATATATATAAAACCTAAAAAAAAATTATTTCATTTCACATCCTCCACGTGCAAAATTTGATGAGGCTGAGTAAACTATAGCAAGCAGCAAACGAGTACAAAGTTCTTAACTAGAAGAGATAATTGCTATACTTTTTTATTTACTGTTCTATGTTTTAAGAAAAATAAGTTTAAGAACTTGTTTGTAAATAGTAATAATGTATATACATATATAATGTATTATAACTGAAATATGAATGTATTTTACAAAATACCAGTCCATTAAAACACAGCCAAGGTAACTTTGTAAAGGCCAATTGTATATTCTTGGATATGGTAACATGAGTGCATGTGCACCACATCATTGCAACTTCTGTAATGATAGCCAGGCATGACTGGAAGGTCAATATGATAAAGATAATAAATATATATAAATGTATAATGTTATGAGATTTAAGCTATTTATGTGTTTTCGTGCTCTAATCTGTAGTCATTCTAGAACAAAAAAGCATCATTTATATTTATTTCATAATTTTTATGGTGGTTGTAAGGTTGGTCAAGTTGACAGACCCCGTATAGTTAGGGTAAAGAAAATAACAGACAAATTAGAAAGTTTTACTGAAAACAAACATTTGAAATTTGTTTAGGAGGTTTTAGAGATTACACAAATAATATTTGAGATTTTTGGGACAAAGAATAGTTTGTTAACCATAACATGAAAATTACTTCACACTCAGACTAGTGATGAAACACTTAATATTTTCACAAACAAATCTTTAATAAAAATACTTCATTAAAAAATCTTGTAATCATTACTAAAAGTCTACCAAATTTTGTGAAGATACACATAATTTATTAAAAGTTATAATATAAATACTTAATGTGTGCATATGTGTATATTAACTCGTGTCTTTTATACCGAGCCCATTGCAAAAAACTGTGAAAAAAGCTAAACTTTGATCATAAACATTAATGACTATTCTTTATAGTAAAACTACTCAAGAATATAGTTAATTTCATCATCACTTCTTGATAGATGGCAGTATTAGCAAATTAGTTTCCAGCCAATTCTCGTTGTAGTCAATGATCACATTTTCTGTCATCCGAGGAATAACTTACCTGCAATTTTGCCCTTCAGCTTTCATTACAATTGTTGTGTTCGTCTTGAAATATGCTTAACCCTATTAAGATTGGAGGGTAGTTCTTTGGTGTTGAAGGCGCACTTAGATATCATATTACACAACTGAAGTAAAAATAGTAATTTCAACTGTATTTTAATAATTTTTTTACTCAAAAATATCCTAAATTTTATATTTTGTAACTTTGTACTATGATCTGTGCACAGCTCCAACAGGTATCACCTATAAACAACTCTTTTTAATGATTTTTTAGAATTTATCTGCCCATTCCAAGTTATAGGTGTACTGCACATTTACTCAGACCCTGTCAGTCGTTAGAAGTAGACTTATTCAAGTTTTTGCTTCTCACCTGACTTTTCTGTCAATAATTATTTTAAGAAGTGGGTTGAACAGTAACTAATAAACCTTGGCTTAAGAATGATTACATAGAAAAGATTCTTGTGTATCTTTGTCAGTATAAAGTAGGGTAAGCAGTAATGTATGGTCTCTGATAAAGTGACACTGAAGTTCTGATAGAGGAGAATAAAGGATTCTAATATGAAGTTAACAAATTTTAGGAATAAACCAAAAACCTGGGAATTGTTTTATAGCTTCTTTTGATGAACCTTTCATTAGTGATAATCTTTTTTTATTATGTCTATTTTAAAGCCACAAGAACATTCTTATATGGAAAGATATCAAGTAAGGATATTTAGGGTTAGGGAATATGGGAAGCTGGGATTCTGTGATGGTATACTATTCAAATGACAGAAAAGCTTATTTTATTTTCATGTATTAGTAAATTCATTATTACTCGAACAACATGTACAAGCACAAGAACTCCCTAGTTATTGAAAACAACAATAATTATTAAATAGAAATTGAGATTGACCCAAAATGTAGTTGGAAAACTATCTTCTACATTAGTGCAATCTTAGGGTATGAGTGGAAGTTGTATTTCCACTGTTCAATGCTTTTACTGTTTATCAATATATTATACTATTTTTGTTGCTATGTAACTGCTTCAGTTAGGATACATAACAAATAGAAATAAATGATGAAAACAAAACAAGCTAGAACTCATTGGATATATAGAATGGAACTTTTTGATCAATAATATTTAAAAAATTCAGTTTTATTTCATATTTTTTTACTAACTATGTTCATTGTATGTAAGAGCTTGTATGAACAGACAAATAATACAAACACAACAATTGTTGAAAAGTAACTACTGGATACATTTACATGATTTTTGGTACACAATAAAAAAATAACTAAGACAAAAGAAAGTATTTTTTAATGTTTTTAAAACTGGTTCCCAACCTTTTGTGGCCCTCACACCCCTCCCCTGAAAAGTGTGCATAAGACATTTCCTCTTGGCAACATTTGGGGGGATAACGGACCTTGTATATGCCTCTTTCGTGTACCCCATGGACCCTCATTTTGCCCCCCCCCCCAGGAGGTGCTAACACTCCTGACTTAAAATATTATTTAAATCCTAAACCAAACTATATAAATTTTTTAAAGCATAAACTAGATGATGTATAGAAAGTCTGTACCAAATTTCATACAGTTAAATTAGCATTTTAAGTGTGAGAAAAATGCAGACACCACCCTGCCAGTTTGAAAAGGGTTAAAATATCTGAACTTTCAGCTCTCAAGCTCATAGAAGAAATTTTTCAGTGAGGACAAGTGGCTATCATCAAAGCTTTGGTGGGGATTCGATTTTATTAAATATTTTTGATATCAAAATAGTTTGTCTGTGGAATAACTTTTTTATTTATTTATACATACCAGAGGTGTAGGAGGTAAGTTAAAGTGGGGGGGGGGAGGTGTATTTGCTGAGTGAAGCAAGGAAATATGTGCTCAGGTGCACCTATTATGACCAGGGTCCAGAGCTTCTCTTAGGTGTATGGAAGTTCTTGGTTTCTGGATTAAATTTCATGAACTCTCTTGCTTTTTCTGAGAGTAACTTTCCTACTTTTAATGCACTTTTATTGGGACATATTAAAAAGTATCCCCCCCCCCCCGATTCCTATGCCACTGCATGTCGGGGGGGATCTGAAGTCTATAAATAACAACAATATTGAAAGCCATTTCACAACATTATTAGACTTAGAATTCCAGTTTAAGCTAAGGTAAGTTTTAGTAGTAGAAGAAAGATTTAGGTGTTCAAGAATAATGTTTTTTTATTCCAGGGTTTTGCTTTTATAAATTTCCTGCGTAGAGAAGATGCTGCACGAGCTATTGCTGGTGTAAATGGATTTGGTTATGATAACCTTATACTGAATGTGGAGTGGGCTAAGTAAGTACTTATCTAATTGTTTGTGTTAATGAATTTTTCTGCAACAATTTTATGCAGTGTGTGAAATGGACAAAGTAAATTATTTAATAAACCTTTAATATGATAATCATAAATTTAAGGTAGCCTCTTAATAAGTGTAGAATGGGGTAAATTTTTTTAAAAGTTCTTGTATAATATTTTTCAGAAAAATTCCTACATATGGTGTATAGTATAATTTTGTATGTTTAGAAACACATCTTACTATCTATTTTAACTGATATAGTGAAAAGGTCTTTCTTTACCATTACAGAGGTTTCAGTAGAATGTTTTTTACAAGCTCTCTGAGAATGGTTTTTTTGGTTATGCATCCAATACCTAAGTTTGTTCTATGTAAATAACTCCAATGTAATAAGTAGTAGTGAGAAAAAATTTAATAAATGCTGTATGTTAATAGTTATGGGGGAGGGCAGTTTTCATCTCCTAGATGAGTGATTAAGTTTTAAGCATAACCTAGCACTATCTTGAGAATGCATAAAATTAGAAACATACAGAATGTATTTGTTGTTCCTTATGCATTTTTTTTTGTGCTCTTTCTCTCTTTAAGGCCATCTGGCACTAGTTGAAAAGGATCCATTCCAGGCAGTAAGCTTATCTTCACGTGAATCAGCAAATGGAATGTAAACTCCTGTATGATTTAGTAATAAAAGTTACTTTGAGGCTGACACTTATTTCTTGATGTAAACATTCAGAAAGACATGTTTCATACAATAAGCTGATTTACATAAATCTATCAAAACTACTCAAATATCAATATGTAGGACCCAGATCTAGAACAAGAATTTATAAAAAATTGTGAATACACTTAATAAAGGTTAAACTGATTATTCTTTCAAAAACTTTGAATCTTTAACAACTAATTTTTACTTGTTTGTTTAGCATCCTAAACAAAAATTTAAGTCTGGAGTTGATAAGTGGTATATATATATATATTTTCATTACTTATAAAAGTGTAAATTCTGTAAAGAATGTTAATATCACTGTAGAATTCAATCGCAGAACAGGTGTGTAAAAAATAGTTTGACTTTTCTGTATATTTAAATACTTTTAATTGCCAGCTTCAGGTCCACTTACTGGAGCCATATAAATGCATCTTGTCCTAGATTAACACTTAAAATATGTAAAAGTGGCCTTGTTTGCTTTTTTTTTTGACATGAATTTATCCTACCAATGTTGAAAAATATCTTTCTTAAGGACAAAGTGCCTCCAGAGAAAATTGATATGATTCAGAATTAAATTAACCATCTTTATTATCAATATATGTCCATAAATTGGCATGAAAATATGGTTTATAAATCAAATTTATGTACTATCTAAGTTTAACTTCTTAATTGGAAAGAGAAATATTTAAAAATTTTCAGTCTTCATATTTTTGTGTCACTACATGTTTGAGCTCCAATTTCAAATTCCATATCATTCACCCTCCATGTGTCTTTGTTTTATCAGATTAGGATCTTAATGTGGTCCTCTATACCCTTTCTTGTTTCCCCTTTTAACCACTGGCTTTGTGTTCCCTGTAACATCTCTTCCTCAAGACCTATTTCCTCATCCTCCTTGCTTGTGAGCATCGTTGTTTGGATATTTATGCCATTAATGTTTCTTTTATCCTTTACCATTTCTCTTATGTTATCCTCTACCCTGACTAGCCCTTCCTCCCTAAGATCTATGCTGCTTTAGAAGGTGGTTTGGCTTTCTCACCCATTTCCTTACCTTCTTTTTCCCACCTGTACTGTCATTTCAATCCAGATAGGCTTCTTTGTCTGGTTTTCTCCTTAAGGTGTTATGTGGCACATACTGCCTCATTTCGGGATTCATGTTCCCGACGTATTATTTCCTAGAGCCCTTCTGTTTCCCATGATCTGTCACTCCCATTGGTTGGGTTCATCAACTCATAAGGCTGGTGTATTCAGACTTATTCATGGAAAGTCACAATCTCTACAACATCTCTTTACATCAAATTCGTAACATTACTATGTCTTTGGCTGCTCGCCTTTGCTGTCCATCCAACATGGTCAGGTGGTTAGGGTACCTGACTCGCAATCTGAGGGTTGTGGGTCCAAATCCCTGTCTCAGCAAACATGCTCATCCTTTCAGCTATGGGGCATTATAAAGTGATAGTCAATTCCACTATTCTTTGTTAAAAGAGCAGCCCAAGTGTTATCAGTGGGTAGTGAGGACTAGCTGCCTTCTTTCTAGTCTTTCACTGCTAAATTAGGGATGGCTAGCAAAGATAGCCCTTGTGTAGTTTTGCAAAAAATTCAAACCAAACCAAATCTTTGCCATCCTAATACTTCCATTGCTCATTCTTCCAATGGCAATTTTACACACGTCCACTAACCTTTGACTGGGGTAAGTCTTATCCCTTCTTTTCAGCACCCCTACTGCTATAAAGATCCCACTCTGTGGCACATGTTGCTTAGTCAGGAATGCTTTGACTCAAACTCACACTAGTTCAGAGTTGCTATATAACACTCACTGCAGAGAAGGGGTGTTTTCATGAGACCACTGGTTGCTTACCCAGTGGTGTATGTATATATATATATATATATTTGTGTGTGTGTGTGTACTAGATATCACTCAATTTCAATCTATGGTGGACTATCACTCATGGATTTCATGAGCAAAGCAGAAGGGAATTTTGCCCATCCCTTCCAAACCTTTGATTGAATAAATTGGGGTAGGTCTTCTTTTCAAAATAAGGAATTGCAGACACCAATGCACTGTCTCCAGTGTGATATTCCTCCAAACTCCCCACTGCATTCACCTTTTTCTTCTAGTAGAGCATGATAGTCCCAACTCTTCTCAGTTTCCGGTCACTGGGATGGTGGACTATGGAGGCTTCCTTCTGAGTGAGTTTAGAAATTTATTTTACAATGCATGCTCATGATTATCTACTCAGTGAGAAAAGGGCAAAGCTGGTTTCCCTCCTTCCATTTCCCTTGGATGCTTTTTCCAAGGTGGAAAACAATAGACAGAATAATAAATTAAACTAGTAGCAGCAGGTCCAGCATACACGGGATCCAGGCATAATGCCGGGTTCAGGCATAAATTCATTAATTCTGGTTGTAGAAGGTACTTTCTCTACTTCTATGGTTATGTTTAGGAGACATTGTCTAATTTGTAATGCTAGCAACAGGATGTCTGTGCTTTCTTCCTATGGTTGGGAGAGTGTTCCATGCCCTCCTCGTAATTCCTAATTCAGAATGTCCCTGCTCTGCATTTACGGTTGAGTGAGTTATGATTTTGTCTGTAATACCAATTACAGCTTTACCAGGTTCTTACGCTTGAGTCGAGGTAATGTCATGACCCCATAATGCTAGGTTCAGTTTGTTGTACTTCTTGCACTTTGGAGTTTGTCTGGTTACGACTGAAAGCTCACTTCCTCTTCGTAATTCCGATTAATTGATTTATGATTTATGAAGAATTCTTACACCATCACCAGAACAAAAATATCAAATATTAACCAATGAACAAAATTGCACTAATAAACCAAACAACAACTCAACATTACACTACAGTTTACCCTTCATCCCTGAAATCAATTCAAAAATAATTCACACTTGGAGAAAACTTGCCATTAAACATAAAATTCTCATCGACTTCATATTCAATCAAGAACACGGCCCTAAACTCAATTCATTTCAAAATAAAAATAAGGTAGAATCACACAAGTCATTTATAAATGACTTCATATTTTTGTGTCACTACATGTTTGAGCTCCAATTTCTTGCTTTCAGAATTTTCTAACACCAAATACAGACTGCTGCAGTTCCATCCATAATTAAAAAACAAAAAGTATATGCATATGAAATTTTAGAAAACTAGAGTTCATATCAAACAACACAAGTTGTTGCATGAAAATGTGAGCTTGAAAACGAATAAAATCTCAAAATTTTTTCATTTTCCATTACTGAATGGTGTTCATTTAGAGATTACAAGTAATCTCAAAATAAATTTCTAAGACTTAAAAATCAAAGATAAAGTCTGCAAATTAAAACTTGAAAGAAACAATTTGAAGAAATTCTAAAGCAACTGAAAAATATTGTTAACCCCCTAGATCTAGGATATTTTAAAGTTAAAAAACATAAACTGTAACAATAAAGCTTTGACTGAGAGTAGAGATAAACAGTTACATTAATTTGACCTCAAAAATCATTGTTATCTGTCTTTAAAGAAAGTCTGGTTAAAACCATGCTATATAGTGTTTAAAGTATCAATAAATCAAGCCTTTTTGAAGCAGAAGTTCAAAGCATAAAGTTAAAGCTGAGAAGAAATTTTCTGTTATTATTACATAAATAATTCACACCAAAACTGAAAAATTAAATACCTCATCTGTTACCTTAAATTTTCTAATGAAAATTGTTACTTATACTTTGGAAATATTTGATACATTATCAAGTAGATTATTAAAAAGTTATATCCACAAGTTCAGTTAAAATGTGTCTCTAAAACAGAAGGAAAAAAGGGCTCTCCATCTTTAAAGATAACATTCATTAAAACACCTCACTAGTAGTATATGAATTCACATGCCCAATATACAGCTAAGAATATATTAAATCAACCACTAGAAAGCTTTGGAATCAAGTAAATGAGCACTATAACTCTAAGAACCTACAACAACAGTGGCATTACCAACCACTGTCCAAATGAATGTGATGATGTGCCTACTTCCAGTTTCTTCCCCATCATTGTCTATTCTCGGAAAGAATTCCACGTTAAAATGCTGAAATCTCTTGCTAACAAAATTAGCTCTTAGTCAGAAAATGAATGCAATGCCATCTTCAGTTGTGAAAGTGTAAAGAAAGGACCAGAATAAGAACTTAATCATTGAAATGTTCTCCGTAAGGACTTTCTGCAATTCATTGATGCAAGTTATTTGCAATACAATTTTCTAAGTGTAGTTAAAACTTAAAATATTGTTTTATTTTGGTATTGAAATGCATAGTTCTGTGAAAAAACATATCCATAAACCGGATTCACCTCGTGTAATGGGTCTCAACATCCATGGATATACAAATATCAAACCATTGAACAATAAACTGTAATACATTAGAAGTTAAATAAAATTTGGGTGTTTAAATTATTAGTAAGTAAACTGACTATAATCCTTTAGATTTATTCTACACTTTTAGCATATATGATTGTGAATATACACATTAAAACATTTCCTTGAAGATAAGAATCCTGGATGGGATAAAGTCATTTGAGAAAAAATGACCTAAAAATAGATCAAAGTGTTGTGTATTAAACAGATGAAAAATTAACACTGATTTTGTACATCATGGAGTACAACTGGTATACATTAATGGTATTTGTTAATCAATTCATTCAGAGACCCGTTAATCAGTTAGTACTTAGTACAGTGTTCTTCAAACCATGGAACATAACCAACAATGAACCAAACAAAAAAAGGATTAGCAATCCAATTAGGGGAGGAAAAAAGTCAATAATTCAAAATCAGTGGCAGATAGCTTCAGTAACTGTGCCATAACAAAAATGGGACAAGAAAGTTTGGTGGTAGTTGGAATCGAAGCAGCCTCCCCCCCTCTCAAATCTAAGCAAACTTGAAGTAAAAAAATTTACAAGGCTAAAATTTGGCACAGCACAGATAACTCATTATGTAGCTTTGTGCTTAACAACAAACAAGTTTATTATTTTTGTGACAACCTAATCGTAATTTTGATTAACAGATTAGTTTATGAGACACTAATCAATGTAATTGCTACTCAAAGATAATTAAGTCACCCAGTTCTATCCTAGAATTCATTGAAATTATATCTAACTTTGATAAGGTACACAATAAACTAACAACCATAGATAATGAAATACATAAAAATATTTGTACACTTTAGTGTATTTCAACTTTAAAAGATATTACCTTTTTAATTCTTATATTCAAAGCAACACTATTTGTAAAACATGTAAAAACAAATAAAAAGTCAATGGTCACTTCTTTAGTACTACCAGTAAAATTATATTATTTTTTGTTTGTGCAAAGTATAAAATATGTATATACATAACTTATCAAGATTTTTTCTTCAATTACAATAAATTGTAATGAAAACATATGTTTTGCAATGTAGATTGAAAATCACAAACATTGGAACAGCACCAATATCAATGTTTAAACATCATTTTAGAAAAGGGGGAGGACGTGGTGTCGATATTTTGGTTTTGGAAGAAGGATTGCTAGATTCTTTATTTCCTTCTGTTTTTTTGCTTGAAGACTCTGTTGTCATGGAACTCTGTGATTTAGGTGGTAACAATGATGAAGATTGGACTTGTTTAGGAAAAAGAGGTATTTTATAGCGTTGATTTCTATTCTGGGGTCCAACACGAGTGGGTCCTTCTTCACTGTCAGTAAAAACTTTAAATTCTTCAAATTTTTTTTCTGCCATGGTTATTGTGTGCCTGAAAGATTTGTAGGAAAAAGTATATATATATTTGATTCTTAGAGAAAGCTACCTTAAGGTTATAATGACTGCTAAATTATTGGTAAACACAAAAATTGGTATATAGTATGTATGAAAACCTTACTACAACTAATGAAAGATATCACAGTACCTAAAATATCAGCATAAAAAGAACAAAGAAAACATTAAAATATTTTTATGTGACAATAATTGCATACAGATAGATTTATTGTACTTACATTCTTTAAATATATCTGAAAATGATTTTGTCCATGTTATATATATTTATTATGCAGAACAAACAAATATGACTGTTTTCTGAATTACTTTATAAAGTATATTTTACTCAGACATTAAAATCAAGGTCAAAGTCATTTGGTTTTACATCTTGCTTAAAAATCTGAAAAATTTCCCACTGTACCTATATTCCATAAAGCATGAATACTGGGTGTTAGAAGTTTACTGTTAAAGTACATAACAATAAAACTTATAAGCTGTAAATACATCCATACAATTAAAAAGTCTCATTTTTCTGGAGTTACACTTTATGCATAAATACTGAAAATATCCTGTACTATCACTCTATATAACGACCTTTTCATAAGTTATTGCAGATAATCAAATAAAATCTTATAAAACTACTAATTATTTTTAAATGTTAAATAACCATGACACAAATATTTTAATCATGTTAATGCTTTATTATCATAGTCTACTGCTAATACTGAGTAATAGTAATATTAATTTTATATCTTTTATGATTCAGTCACATACCAACAATTGAACAACGACACAACAAATGAACTATGTTCTATAACTTGGATTAAACTTTCAAGTTGGAAGTTCTAACGGTTTCTATCAGTATCACTTAGCAAGTTATTTTTCTTTACTGTGTAAAAATTGCGCAATGGAAAACGTTTCACTTGTATATTAACTAATCTCGCAATAGGCCTAACTCACATAAAAAAACAGCGACTCATTTGTTAAAGTTCCTATAAATAAAGTCCAGTAAATATAGCACAATTCAAAACTGGAAGATTAACACATTCATCAATTCAATAACTGATCGACAACACTATAAGTTATAACTTATAACCAGTTTTTGTAGACTTTAACATCAGGAAGTTTTGTGAGTTAAAAAATGAATCTACCAACTATCTATATTCAATTTCAACTGCGTGGGCGAACATACTACTTTTTGGAAATTATTTCCTTGATTTTATATGTATTTCAATATCCATATATAATTTATTTTTATTGATTATATATTTCATTATTAACCATGACTGAAATATTGCTGTTAAAACTGATTATTATTTCAGACCATCTAACTAATAACAAAATTAAACATCAATATTTCAATCATGTTAAATATTAAAATACACGGCCCCCCCCCCCCCTCAGTGGCACAGCGGTATGTCTGCGGACTTATAACGCTAGAAACCGGGTTTCGAAACCCGTGGTGAGAAGAGCACAATTAGCCCATTATATAGTTTTGTGCTTAATTACAAACAAACAAACTCAAATTTAGGAACCTGTAGCGCAGATATCCTTTGCGGAAAAAAAATCAAGAAAGAAACAAAATTCAATATGTATAACTATTATTAATGAGATACTATCACGTAATTTCTTTTTATTGAAGTGCTTATTATAATATGGGGTAAATTTAAATAGAGAGAAGACAGCTAGTCAACATCAACCACCCTTTGTCAACTTTTGGGCTAATCTTGTCAGAGAAAATGCAGTAGTGGAATTTTACCGTCACTCATTGTCCTAAAGTGCACGGCACGATTTTTGTATTATTATTATTGTTGCTTTTTTTCGCAATAATGGGATGTGAATCGAAGAAACTAAGGTACATAGCCCTTAATGCATCCATAGGGTTGCGCTCACATCAAATATAGAAAATATAGTACATCATAAGAGGTATATTTGCGTGCACAAACGTATAGGAAGCTAGGAACCCCATTATAATTGAAACAACTGTCTCATGCCGTGTACTAGTTTTACTTGAATAGATGCTTGTAATTTTCCTTTGGCTAGATAACTCCCCTGGTGGAACAGCTGTAAGTCTACGGACTTACACTCTTAAAATCTAGAGTTTGATTCCCCGCGGTGGACACAGCAGATGGCCCAATGTGATTAAATAACAAACAATTAGCTAGAGGGAGTTTTTAACGTAACGTGATAAATGTGTGACAAATAATGACTATAACTTCGTTCAACGTGTAGAAAACGACTTGAACGAAAAAAAATCGCAAGTTGGACCAAATATTGGTGATTGATTAGTAAATCTATTACCACGGTCAGTCAGTTAGTTAATTCAGCGTTGAAAATGGTTCATTTTTGTTTTCAGCAGAGTAATAGAGATACGAAAGTACTGTTATTTACATATGAGAAAATTAACAGGTATGTGGAATTTTTCTATTTAGGCGATATTTATTCATGATGTTAAGTGTATTATTTTTCCACTCAATGCTAGAAACTATTTTAACCCTGGTGTCAGAATTGTGATTATTTTAGGGAAATAAAATGGAATATAGACAGAACTCCAAGATGACGATACAAGTCTAGCTGAAAATATATCTTAAACCAAACACATCTGGGTAAGCTTTTTCTTAATTTTCGGACTTACACCGCTAGAAACCGGGTTTCGATACCTATGGTGGGCAGAGCACAGATAGCCCATTGTGTAGCTTTGTGCTTAACTTCAAGTAACTAAACAACTTAATTTTCGTGCATGTATTTTTTGTATAATGTAACATTCTTGTCAAATTAATATTGGAAGATCATTGCATAAACCTGTTAGAAATTAGACTGAAAGTTTAATAATGAAATGATGAAAAGTGGAAAAAAAAGATCAAGAGACAGAAAATTAAATGGATGTTGTATGTTCAGTTTCACTCGTTTCGCTGTGAATAATTGAATAGGAGCTGCAAAATAACTGAAGGTTTGTCAGCAAATGTTTTACAGAGTTGTACCTTCACTGAAATGTGTTCTTAATAGTGAATCAGTATTTGTTGTAATCAGCGAAATGTTTCTTTCTATCTTATCGTCTGAGAATAAGAAAACATGGTGTTATATAGAGTTATGCAGACATCACCCATGTGACTGAAAGTTACACTACGTATGATACTATAATTGCAAAACCTAGTTTTGAGAGTAACTACTTTGAAAATACATGCTCAGTGTATACACAAATTTTTAATATACACCT